AAATGTTACCATAATAATTATTTTCAATACAGCTTAACAATGATTGTAGTCATTTTATTACATTGCTCCCAAATATTACAGATTGATAAACTATACATGACTTTGATAATTTGGCATTTAATCAAATTAATCACATAAATAAATTATATTAGCCACTAAGAAAATTTAGTTATGAAGATAAAAGTTAGCATGTTTTAAATATAACACAGAGATTAAAATTTTTATTCAGTTATTTTTAGTCCTGGAATGAGTACAAAGATAAATTTAACAGCTTTATGTCTAAAGTATACACACACGGGGCAAATGAGTAAATATAGAGCATATTTATGCTATTAAAATTTAATAGGTTTTGAATTAAATAAAATATCTAAAAGGCCTTGGAATAAGGAAGTGAGAAACAATAATCCCCAAATGGTCGAGAAACACTGCTCTAAAGTCATAGAAAATGCATAAGGAAACTAAAAATAGAAGTTGAAAGTAAGTAATAGAGATTACATTCAGAAACTGAAAAGTACCACCTGTGCTACAAAAGATCTATAGACAAATCAAGGTCTTCAGAGAATCTAGAAGGGAAGATTCTACCAGGGCAAAAACACCAACAAGACTAACAATGGCACCTTCAATTATTTTCTGGGTAGCTCTGGTGCTGCTCAGCTGCAAGTCAATCTACTCTTAGGACTGTGATCTGTCACAAACAAACAATTCAAGGACAAAGAGTGACTTGATACTCCTAGGACAAATGAGGAGAATCGCCACTTTCTCCTCCCTGAAGCATAGGCAGGACTTTGGGTTGGCCAGGCTGGACTTTGATGGCAAGGAGGTCCAGAAGGCTCAGGCCCTATCTGTCCTACATGAGATGAGCACGCAGACCCTCAACCTCTTCACATCACAGTACTCACGTGCTGCTTGGAACCAAACTCTCCTTGAGAGCTTCTGTGCTGGCCTCTATGAGCAGCTGAATGAACTGGAGGCCTGCCTGACTCAGGAGACAGGGCTGGAAGAGCCTCTCCTGATACATGAGGACTCTAGACTGGCTGTGAGGAAATACTTCAACAGGATCACTGTCTACCTGAAGGAGAAGAGCTACAGCCCTTGTGCCTGGGAGGTGGTCAGAGCAGAAATCAGGAGATCGTTCTCCTTTTCAGCAACTTTGCAAGGCAGAGTCCAGAGGAAGCAATGAGACCAACTGGAACATGAGATGATTGTCATCCATTTAAATACACTGCACTGCACTTGTGCAAGTTCTGCCATTGCAAAGACTCTCACTTCTGCTGTGATCATACAAAATTCCAATTGTTCTGTGTCTTCATGAATACTTTTTGTGTCTTTCTCTAGAGGCAATTTTTCTTTTGAGATGACATTTCAAGTATAAGTGTTCCTCTATTTAAGTCTTAACATACATATTTAACTATGAAAAATATTTAAAGTTTGTTGATATGCATACTATTATGAAAAACATTACATTGCTGTTAATATGAAAGAATGTTCTTCAGAGTTGTCATTGTCCTTTTTCATTAAATTTTTATCGTATAACATTTGTTCTATTAACTTATTCTTGAATCCACCACACATTACTGTGCGAAATTATGAACCAGTGGAAGTTAGACTCTATTTCCTCATTACTGTGATACTTGCAGTAGAAGAAGGAGCTGACTACCTTATGGGCAGTGAAAGTGAGCTCAATACAATGGTGCTCATGTGGCGTTTGAGAGGTCCTTCAACTGATCCTTAGCACTGCCCCAAAATAACAGTAAAGAAAAGAACATTCCCTTCCTGTCCACCAGTGTATACATTTCCTTCATTTATGATGTTGAACATCTGACGGAGTTCCTGCTTGTGTATCTTTTATTTTTGTGGGTTAAAAATGTAAATTTGTAGAAATACATACTTAACATTAGTTATGTAATTTATAAGAAGGAAAACTCCAAAGATTCTCTGAGAAAAATGTGGATCGAGGCACGATACAACAAGAAAATTAAAGTTTTAAACTGACTAGAAGATTTTAAGTAAATGTGCACTGCTATTTGGATATCAACCTTTGCAAAGTCCAAAGAAAGGAAGTTGTTGGAAGTTGATTTTTGGCCCTACATATCTCATTGGAGAATGTGGTCGCACAGGGAGAGATGAGAGGCACAAGAAGACTTAAGGGTGATTGTGGGGAACATCAACTTTTAACGGGAGAAGAGAGAAGGCTAAAAAGAAACAGTAGTGAGGTATGTTGGAAGTTAGGGCACCAAGCAAGAAGGCAGCATGCCTGGCTTCCTGGCAGGTGGTGTGGCGTGAGCCAGTGGCAGGTGAGCCAGGAAGAGAATCGATCAGTCAGCCTCTCCCTTGAGCCTGTCAGGAAACCAGCTGAGAATCAAAGAAACAATCCCGGCCCTGAGTGTTAGCCAATGAGGACCAGAGCTCTGAATATCTCTAGGGAGGATGACCCTATGCAGTAGAGCCAATATAGGGCGTTTCCATCTGTCTTAGCTTTTAGGGCCACCATGGTTGTCACTGTTTGGCTCTATTCAATATTCTATTTGGATAGGTTGTATAAGGTAGTGTTTTTTGTTTGAGTTGGCTCTACCTGATTGAATGGACCACTACCTTGAAGGTAACTGTGCATACCATGCTGCCTATTAGTGTTATGACAATATCCAGCCCTGGAGTTCTGAACTAAGTTCACTGCATTGTCTCTTCCATTGGGTTTTGTTATGTGGCGTTCTATAATATTTAATACTTTCAAAATTTAAAAAAAAAACCCAACAGTAGTGAAGAAGTCTCAGATGAGAAAAATAACACTTGAAAATGTTGAAACTGTACTTAAGAAAATCAGCCTGCTTAAAGGAGGAATTAGTGGTTAGGAGGCTCTGGAATGCAGCTATCTGCTACACCAGGAAAACTGATAGCAGTTGCCTCATTTGTGAGAGCGGACTTGTGACAACTAATTATCAGAAATTACATAGGAAGCGGTGAGAGAGAGAACTTAGTGGTTCTCTGGTCGGGAAGGAACTAGGAAAATAATTTTGGTATTATCTGCTGTGAATGGTTGTTCCAGTTTGGCGATACCGAATTTTTTTCTGGATAGGACAAGTAAGTGATTTATTGTCAAATACTATTAATACCTTCTACATGTTTATTTTAAATTGTGACATTATTATGCTGGTAAATTTTTATTGTCATAAGATTATATTGAAAATAAATAATACATATTGAATATAATAAGACATTTAGTTTTTGATAACTTGTTAGGCAGAAAGTAGAAGAATGACTCCACCCTTCATGCAAATAGCTCATTACTACTGCTAGTATAATGATGCATAAAATTATCTGCTTTGTTCCTAACATATATCATATGACATTGGTTTCTTCTAGTAGATTCATCAAACATTTCACTTGCTGTTAACGTGGGATGTGATAAGCACCAAAGAATAAATTTTAGGAACAATGGAGGTTAAGAGCAGAATATCTTTACTGAGAGAAAGCAAGCTTCTGTTTGAGAGAGCAACAGAAGGCATCCTGAGTGGGTTCCTGTGGACCCTTTCTCTTTAGGTATTTTTATAGAGCACAATCCCAAGGTTCTTTTAAATTTCTACTAGTGCATAGAAAAAAGAAAATGAGAAATGATATCTAAATATATAGTTTATAACTAAAAACCACTATTTATATTGAAATGAATTCTACTAAAAGTCAAGTAATTATATGAAAGAGTGAACTGTCAAAGCTTTTATCCTTAACTTTGTCAGAAATTTTTGTTTACTTTAAATTGTAGATTTAATATGACTTTCACTGATTTTTATGAGTAAAGCAAAGATACAGAAACACACATAAATTCATTGTCATATATCTCTGTTGTGGAATTTCGATCAGGGATTCAATTAGAAAAGGAACTGCCTAGAAAAGTCCTAGTGGCATGGATGTGTGGGAAGTAATGACTACAAAGTGCCTTAGTCTTGGCATTGTCTAACATACCAACAGAAACACAGGAGGACAATGCCAAAAAAGGAAACTGAAAGCGGAAGTAGAAGACAACCAATGGTATTTGCAATAGCCTAACTAAACCAGCAAAAAAGGTGGTTGGGCAATACCAAACAGGACAATCGAAGCAGAAGTAGAAGGAAACAAACTTTTATTGGCTTGCAAACCCCCTATTAACTGTTAGGGGATTCCCAAAAGGGAGATATAAGCAGAACTACAAGATAAACAATGGTATCCGCAATAGTCTAACTAAACCAGCAAAAAAAAGTGGTTGGGCAATACCAAACAGAACAATCGAAGCAGAAGTAAAAGGAAACAAACTTTCATTGGCTTGCAAACCCACTATTAACTGTTAGGGGATGCCCAAAAGGACGATATAAGCAGAAGTAGGAGACAACCAATGGTATTTGCAATAGTCTAACTAAACCAGCAAAAAAAGTGGTTGGGCAATACCAAACAGGACAATCGAAGAAGAAGTTGAAGGAAACAACCTTACATTGGCTTGCAAACCCACTATTAAATGTTAGGGGATGCCCAAAAGGAGGATATAAGCAGAAGTAGAAGACAAACAATGGTATTTGCAATAGTCTAACTAAACCAGCAAAAAATTGGTTGACAATGCCAAAAAGGAAAATAGAAGCAGAAGTAGAAGCCAAAAACCTTACATTGTCTTGGAAACACACTATTAGCTGTTAGACAATGCCCAAAAGGAAGATATAAGCAGAAGTAGAAGGCAACCAATGGTATTTGCAATGGTCTAAATCAACCAGGAAAAAACTTGGTTGGGCAAAGCCAAACAGGGCAATACAAGAAGTAGGAGGCAACAACCTTACATTGTCTTGGAAACACACTATTAAGTGTTAGACCATACCCAAAAGGAAGATATAAGCAGAAGACAAGGCGAGGGTATTCAGCAAATGGACATCTGATGTTCACTATTTAAGTCAAAGCACTAAATTGAGACCTTCAGAGAACCCAGAGTTGGAGGTTCAGGATCATCCATCTCAGGCAGAGCCGAAGCAGCCAAAAGCTTTACAATGGCCTTGCCCTTTGCTTTTCTGGTGAATTTGGTGATGCTTCTCTGCAGTTCAACCTTCTCTCTGGCCTGCACCCTGCCTCAGACTCACAGCCAGGGCAACATGAGGGCCTTGATTCTCCTGGGACAAAGGAGGAGAATCACTGCCTTGTCCTGCCTGAAGCACAGACAGGACTTTGGCTTGGCCGGGCTGGAGTTTGAAGGCAAGCAGGTCCAGAAGGCTCAGGCCCTCTCTGTCCTACATGAGATGATCACGCAGACACTCAACCTCTTCACATCACAGTACTCAGGTGCTGCGTGGAACCAGAGTCTCCTTGACAGCTTCTGTGCTGGCCTCTATGAGCAGCTGAATGACCTGGAGGCCTGCCTGACTCAGGAGACAGGGCTGGAAGAGCCTCTCCTGATACATGAGGACTCCAGACTGGCTGTGAGGAAATACTTCAACAGGATCACTGTCTACCTGAAAGAGAAGAGCTACAGTCCTTGTGCCTGGGAGGTAGTCAGAGCAGAAATCTGGAGATCATTCTCATTTTCAGCAACTTTGCAAGGCAGAGTCCAGAGGAAGCAATGAGACCAACTGGAACATGAGATGATTGTCATCCATTTAATTACACTGCACTGCACTTGTGCAAGTTCTGCCGTTGCAAAGACTCTCACTTCTGCTGTGATCATACAAAATTCCAATTGTTCAGCGTCTTCATGAATACTCTTTGTGTCTTTCTCTAGAGGCAATTTTTCTTTTCAGATGACATTTCAAGTATAAGTGTTCCTCTATTTAAGTCTTAACATACATATTTAACTATGAAAAATATTTAAAGTTTGTTGATATACATACTATTATGAAAAACATTACATTGCTGTTAATATGAAAGAATGTTCTTCAGAGTTAATTGTCATTTTCCTTTTTCATTAAATTTTTATCGTATAACATTTGTTCTATTAACTTATTCTTGAATCCACCACACATTACTGTGCGAAATTATGAACCAGTGGAAGTTAGACTCTATTTCCTCATTACTGTGATACTTGCAGTAGAAGAAGGAGCTGACTACCTTATGGGCAGTGAAAGTGAGCTCAATACAATGGTGCTCATGTGGCGTTTGAGAGGTCCTTCAACTGATCCTTAGCACTGCCCCAAAATAACAGTAAAGAAAAGAACATTCCCTTCCTGTCCACCAGTGTATACATTTCCTTCATTTATGATGTTGAACATCTGACGGAGTTCCTGCTTGTGTATCTTTTATTTTTGTGGGTTAAAAATGTAAATTTGTAGAAATACATACTTAACATTAGTTATGTAATTTATAAGAAGGAAAACTCCAAAGTTTCTCTGAGAAAAATGTGGATCGAGGCAGGATACAACACGAAAATTAAAGTTTTAAATTGACTAGAAGACTTTTAAGTAAACGTGCACTGCTATTTGGATATCAACCTTTGCAAAGTCCAAAGAAAGGAAGTTGTTGGAAGTTGATTTTTGGCCCTACATATCTCATTGGAGAATGTGGTCGCACAGGGAGAGATGAGAGGCACAAGAAGACTTAAGGGTGATTGTGGGGAACATCAACTTTTAACGGGAGAAGAGAGAAGGCTAAAAAGAAACAGTAGTGAGCTATGATGGAAGTTAGGGCACCAAGCAAGAAGGCAGCATGCCTGGCTTCCTGGCAGGTGGTGTGGCGTGCGCCAGTGGCAGGTGAGTCAGGAAGAGAAGCAATCAGTCAGCCTCTCCCTTGAGCCTGTCAGGGCACCAGCTGAGAATCAAAAATACAATCCCGGCCCTGAGTGTTAGCCCATGAGGAACAGAGGTCTCAATATCTCTAGGGAGGATGACCCTATGCAGTAGAGCCAATATAGGGCGTTTCCATCTGTCTTAGCTTTTAGGGCCACCATGGTTGTCACTGTTTGGCTCTATTCAATATTGTATTTGGATAGGTTGTATCAGGTAGTGTTTTTTTGTTTGAGTTGGCTCTACCTGATTGAATGGACCACTACCTTGAAGGTAACTGTGCATACCGTGCTGCCTATTAGTGTTATGACAATATCCAGCCCTGGAGTTCTGAACTAAGTTCACTGCATTGTCTCTTCCATTGGGTTTTGTTATGTGGTGTTCTATAATATTTAATACTTTCAAAATTAAAAAAAAACCCAACAGTAGTGAAGAAGTCTCAGATGAGAAAAATAACACTTGAAAATGTTGATAAGACTGTACTTAAGAAAATCAGCCTACTTAAAGGAGGAATTAGTGGTTAGGAGGCTCTGGAATGCGGCTATCCGCTACACCAGGAAAACTGATAGCTGTTGCCTCATTTGTGAGAGTGGACTTGTGACAACGAATTATCAGAAATTACATAGGAAGCGGTGAGAGAGAGAACTTAGTGGTTCTCTGGTCGGGAAGGAACTAGGAAAATAATTTTGGTCCTATCTGCTGTGAATGGTTGTTCCAGTTTGGCGATATCGAATTTTTTTCTGGATAGGACAAGTAAGTGATTTATTGTCAAATACTATTAATACCTTCTACACATTCACTTTAAATTTTGACGTTATTATGCTGGTTAATTTTTATTATCATAAGATTATATTGAGTATAAATAATACATATTGAATATAATAACACATTCAGTTTTTGATAACTTGTTAGGCAGAAAGTAGAAAACTGACTCCACCCTTCATGCAAATAGCTCATTACTACTGCTAATACAATGAGGCATAGAATTATTTGGTTTGTTCCTAACATATATCGTATGACTTTGGTTTCCTCTAGTAGATTAGTCAAACATTTCACTTTCTGTTAATGTAAGATGTGATAAGATCCAAAGAACAAATTTTAGGAACAATGGAGGTTAAGAGCAGAATATCTTTACTGGGAGAAAGCAAGCTTCTGTTTGAGAGAACAACAGAAGGCATCCTGAGTAGGTTGATGTGGACCCTTTCTCTTTAGGTATTTTTGTAGAGCAAAATCCCAAGGTTCTTTTAAATTTCTGCTAGTGCATAGAAAAAAGAAAATGAGAAATGATATCTAAACATATAGTTTGTAAATAAAAACCACTATTTATATAGAAATGAATTCTACAAAATCAAGTAATTATATGAAATAGTTAATTGTCAAAACTCTTATACTTAAATTTCTGTCAGAAATTTTTGTTTACTTTTAATTGTAGATTTAATATGACTTTCACATATTTTTAGGAGTAAAGCAAAGATACAGAATCACATATAAATACATTGTCAAATATCTCTGTTGTGGTCTTTCGATCAGGGATTCAAGTAGAAAAGGAACTCCCTAGCAAAGTCCTAGTGGCATGAGAAGTGTAGGAAGCAATGACACAAAGTAACATAGTCACTTTGGCATTGTCTAACATACACACAGAAACCCAGGAGGACAATGCCAAAAAGGAAGTTGAAAGCTGAAGTAGAAGACAACCAATGGTATTTGCAATTGTCTAACTAAACCAGGAAAAAACTTGTTTGGGCAATGCCAAACAGGACAATAGAAGCAGAAGTAGAAGGCAACAACCTTACATTGTCTTGGAAACACACTATTAATTGTTAGACGATGCCCAAAAGGCAGATATAAGGGGAAGTAGAAGACAAACAATGGTATTTGCAATTGTCTAACTAAACCAGGAAAAAACTTGTTTGGGCAATGCCAAACAGGACAATAGAAGGAGAATTATGAGGCAACAACCTTACATTGTCTTGGAAACACACTATTAACTGTTAGATGATGCCCAAAAGGAAGATATAAGCAGAAGTAGAAGACAAGGCGAGGGTATTCAGCAAATGGACATCTGATGTTCACTATTTAAGTCAAAACACTAAATTCAGAGCTTCAGAGAACCTAGAGTTGGAGGTTCAGGATCATCCATCTCAGGCAGAGCAGAAGCAGCCAAAAGCTTCACAATGGCCTTGCCCTTTGCTTTCCTGGTGAACTTGGTGATGCTTCTCTGCAGTTCAACCTTCTCTCTGGCTTGCACCCTGCCTCAGACTCACAGCCAGGGCAATATGAGGGCCTTGATTCTCCTGGGACAAAGGAGAATCTCTGCCTTCTCCTGCCTGAACCACAGACAGGACTTTGGCTTGGCTGGGCTGGAGTTTGAAGGCAAGCAGGTCCAGAAGGCTCAGGCCCTCTCTGTCCTACATGAGATGAGCACGCAGACCCTCAACCTCTTCACATCACAGTACTCATGTGCTGCCTGGAACCAGAGTCTCCTTGACAGCTTCTGCGCTGGCTTCTATGAGCTGCTGAATGACCTGGAGGCCTGCCTGACCCAAGAGGCAGGGCTGCAAGAGCCTCTCCTGATGCATGAGGACTCCAGACTGGCTGTGAGGAAACACTTCCACAGGATCACTGTCTACCTGAAGGAGAAGAGCTACAGCCCTTGTGCCTGGGAGGTGGTCAGAGCAGAAATCAGGAGATCGTTCTCCTTTTCAGCAACTTTGCAAGGCAGATGAAGCAATGAGACCCACTGGAACATGAGAGATTGTCATCCACTTAAATACACTGCACTGCACTTGTTCAAGTTCTGTCATTGCAAAGACTCTCAGTTCTGCTGTGATCATACAAAATTCCTATTGTTCCATGTCTTCATGAATACTCGACAACTTTGTGGCTTTCTGTAGAGGCAATATTCCTTTTCAGATGACATTTCAAATATATGTGTTCCTCTAATTAAGTCTCACCATACTTTTTTTAACGATGTAAAGTATTTAAATTTTCTGGAAATACATATTATTATGGAAAACCTTATGTCGTTGTTAATATGAAACAATGTTCTTCAGAATTAATTTGTCATTTCTTTTTTCATTAAATTTTTGTCATATAACATTTGTTGTATATATTCATTCTTGGATACATAAACATTACTGTGCGACCTTATGAAACAGTGGAATTTAGACTCTGTTTCCTCATTACTGTGAAACTTACAATAGAAGGAGGACCTGACTATCTTATGGGCAGTGAATATAAGCTCAAGAGAAGTATTCTCATGGAGCTTTTGTGAGGTTCTGGAACTGATCCTCAGCACTTCCCAAAAATGAAAGTAAAGAAAAAAGCATTTCCTTCCTATCAACCAGTGTATACATTTCCTTCAGTTATGATGTTGAACATGTGATGGAGTTCCTGCTTGTGTATCTTTTATTTTTGTGTGATAAAAATGTAAATTTATAGAAATACATAGTTAATATTAGTTTTGTAATTTATAAGAAGAAAAATTCCACACATTCTCTTAGAAAAATGTAGATTGAGGCATGATAGAGCATCAAAATTAAAGTTTTAAACTGACTAGTAGACTTCCAAGTAAATGTCCACTGCTATTTAGATATAAACCTTTGTAGCGTCTAAAGACTGGAAGTAGTTGGAGGTTGATTTTGGGCCCTCCAAATTTCAGTGGAGAATGTGGTCGCACAGGGAGAGATGAGAGGCACAAGAAGACTTAAGCGTGATTCTGAGGAACATCAACTTTTAAAGGGGGAGAGAGAAGGCAAAAAAAAAAAAACAGTAGTGAGTCTTTTTGGAAGTTAGGTCACCAAGCAAGAAGGCAGTATGCCTGGCTTCCTGGCAGGTGGTGTGGCATG